ATAAAACCTGCTGACACGTTGACGTTGGCCTTCCAGCCTCCAGAACTGTGACAACTACATTTCTGTGGTTTGGTTCACCCAGTCTGCGGTTCTTCGTTCCGGCGGCCCCACGACCCCACGCGCATGCCCGGGAGCTTTCAGTAGGAGGCTTACGCAACAGCGCTGTGCTCTAACATTACATTTATGATCTCATGCCTGTGTCTTAACCACGGGCAGAGAGTACTGTCTTCCCATTTCCTTTTTTTTTTTTTAAGTAGGCTCCACACCCAGCATGGAGCGCCATGCAGGGCCCCAACTCATGACCCTGAGATCAAGACCTGAGCTGAAATCAAGAGTCAGACATTTAACCAACTGAACCATCCAGGTGTCCCTATCCTCCCATTTCAGAGATGAGGAAAGCTGAGGCTTGGCTAAGGAGGGGAGGGGCTGGGATTGGAGCCCGGTCCATGCGATTCCAAGGCTTCAGTCAAAGCCTGCATCCATTCCCCCCCTCAGCAGGACCCCACTGGGCCCCTGCATCCCATGCCTCCCTCCTTTGACAGATCATGTGCTTTCCCACCCCTGTGCCTTTGCACCTGCTCTCCCCTCTGCCTGGAATGCTCTTCCCACTGCTCGGCTCTTCTGACGAACTTCTCTTCAGTTCTTTGAAACAAAACCCTGCAAACACTGTCCCTTGTACACTGACACCTATCTTGAGAACTCACGACCATTCCGTACTTTATCTTCATGACATGCATGTTCTGTGGCATTCAGGCCAGGCCGAGAGAGGCACCCCCAAACACCAGCTGGCTGAGGTTAGGGGTGCGGTTGCCAAGTGGAGACAATAATCCAGCCCTAGGAGAAGGTCCTGAGGAAAGAGAGTCTCCTGCTTCTGGCCAGGGATTGGCGATGGGGAAGGCAGGTAGGAGAGGCCCGAAGGCCCCACGCCTGGCATAAGAGGAGGGATCCTTTGCCTCTCGTGGGGACAGCGGTATGTCAGAGTGGGGAGGATGGGCGATTCGGTTAGGCCACCCCAGCCCCATTTCCCAGGGTATGTCTTAGTCACGGTACACCAGTTCTCTGGGCCTCAGTTTCCTTGTATGTGAAATGGGAACAACGATGGCTACCTTGGGTGGGTGCAGGGAGGGCTAGATGTGGATAGAGCACCTGGCAGTTTGGGGAGCCAGGGATCAAGGCTGGGCTGCCCCTCTGCTGGGAGGCAGCAGACCGGAGAGAGACAGCTACTTGCCTACTGCTTCCTAGGAAGCTGAGAGAAGGTGGGGGACCAGCTCACCCCCAATTAATAATTAGCAGCTGTAGAGTGGGGGAGGGGGTCCAAGCTCACAAGAGGTGCTCCTATCAGTGGCTGCGTGTGACCCACAGGTTTATGGAGTGAGAGGGCAGTCAGATGGGAGTCAGGCCAGGAGGCACAGAGCACGGAGGCATTCTCCGAGGGTGAGGTCACCACCGCCAGCTCCCTGGGGCTGCTTGGAGCCACAGGCACCTCTAAGCCAGCTCCAGAGTGGGAGGCGGTGGTGGCAGAGGTTGGGGCCAGCGCAGTGAGCCCAATGTCAGGGCCATGGCCTACTACAAGGACAGTCCTGTTCGTCCGTGGTGAGGTGCCGGGTCCGTATCTCAGGAAACCCGGTGGTTCCTGTTGAAGATGTCGTTGGAGGAGGGGAAGGGAAAGCATAGCCGTGGACACTTTCGGAGACCCAGCGAGGTACCAGAATGCTTCTGCACTGCACGCCTCGCCATGTTGTCCCCACCGTGACCTCATGAGGAGGGCGTGTCACTGGCCCAGCATGCAGATGGGGCCACTGAAGTGCAAAATAGTGAAAAACCTTGCCCCCAAGGGAAAGCAGTGGCGCTAATAGGTAAGGACCCAGAGCCTTTAGAGTCAGACACACCTGCGTCCAGAGCTCCTGACACCTGTCAAGACCGGGTCCCTGAAGCGCTCTGGGCCTAGTGGCAACGGCAGTCCCTGCCTCTCTCTGGCTTGTTGAGAAGGCTCAGCGAGAGGACACCGGAAGTGCACTCAGTGTTGCCTGTTTCTATTCATCTCACCTCTGAGCTTCCGCATGGGGATGCAACATGCCCAAGGCCACACTAGTAGGTGGCCCAGTTGGAACTTGAACCCGGCTCTGATTTCTCCCGTCCTCCTTACACCACTGTGGAGTGGCTGCAGACCACCCCGGGCTTCCAGAAGGCTGTCTGGAGTGGCTGGAGAGCTGGAGCTTCTTGGCAGAACCAGTGGTCCTGGTTTCTGGCAGATCCATGGCAGTCAGCCCAACCCGCCGGGACCCAGGGTTCAAGGTCACGCCCACAGCCGGTGTTCCAGGCAGCCGAGAGGAACTGCTGCTGCATGCCTGGAAGCCTCGCGGGTCGCACTGCGTCCTGCCGGCCACCAAGGCCCCAACATTGTTCTCTGGGCCCTCCCCAGCCAGGGCCCACACGTTTGGGATTTCCGGCAGCCCTGCCAGAGCTGCCTTCACTTTCCGGACAAACTTTCCCCAGGCGTCTGGGGCAGGGGCTGAGCGCCCTCCTGCGCCCCTGTCTTGGGCAGGGACTGCTGGGAAGGCCACTGGCAGCACGTCAACATCCTCTTGACCCAACAGGTCCTGGCCCCGGAGCCCGGCCTCCGTAGAGACACAGTGTCCTCTTCTCTGCTCCTGGAGCCCTGGGAAGCAAGGGCCACCAGAGTCACTTTCATTTTAGGACTGGCTGCAGTAAGGGCCCAGGGACTCAGGTCCTCATCACACATAGGCAGTGACCTGGGCAAGTCATGCCGCTCGTGTCCTCATGGGGGAGGCGGGATGACACCCTGACATTGTTCCCAGAGTGGCCTATGGCCCCTGGCTCTGCAGCCTCGTCCTAGTGCTTCCCAGGCCTACGGGCGCCCTTTGTTGGGGAGCACTCCTGTTTGCCCGTTTGCTGCGCATCTCAGCCATTCTGTGGACGCCATTCTGACCCCAGTCTCCTCCACTGGGAAATGGGGAGCACTCCCGCCCGGCGGGCTGTGGTGGGGATCACGGCGGAGGCTGTACATCCGACACGACAAACGCAAGCTTCGGTCCTGGGCTCCCGTCTCTGGGCCCACCGGAGGACTTCGGGATCAGAATACATGTACAGACGCCACCCCTGGCAGGTCGTGGGGCCGAGGGGACCCGTGGTCATGCCCCCCCTCTCTGGGGAGGTGTGTCTGTGCTTCTGAGGGGCTGGCGCTGACTCCCTTGCCCCGCAGCCACACTGCCGACCCCCTATTCTGCAGTTAGGGGAGCCCAAGGAAGCACCCAGAGGGCAGCGGGGGGGGGGCCGCGATGCAAAGCTGGCAGCGTCCCGGTGAGGTCAGAACCATGGAATTAGTCAAATGGGATCACCCCGAGGCCTCTGTGCTCCCAGCCAGTGACTCATGCCACGAATAGCCACATGGGCACCTGCCAACCTGGGCTGGCGGAGGCCACCAGCCGACCTCACCCCGCAGCATCCTTTTAAGGACAGGGAGCTCGGGGCGGTGCAGAGGCCTGGCCTCTGGTCCCGAGGCTCTTTGGCAGCCTCTTCCCACCTGCCAGCGGTGGAGAGACCAGACCCCCACCTGGATTTAAATCTGGCCTCAACGCTCTTTCGACATGACCTTGGGTAAGTCCGTGTCTCCGAACCGGTTTTACCACTGGGAACGTGGAAATAATACTTGCCTCACAAGACAGGAATTAAATGAGGTAATTGTAAAGAAAGTGCTCGGCAGAGGCACCTTTTAAGGAGCGGCAGTGGGGTCCCGTGGCAGGGCCCCGACTCGGGTGTCACGGCACCCCGACCTTGAGCTCTGGCCCACCCCTTACTTGCCAGGCGTCTTGGACAGTAACTCAACCTCCGTGTCAGCGTCTCTCCTGTCAAGCGAGCCACCAGTGTGTCGGCTCTGGGACAAAGATCACATACTACATTTTGTACCGTGACGGAAGAGGTGTGCCCTGTGGGCTCCGTGATCTTGGACAAGGCTCTCAACCCCTGAGGGGGTCTCCCGTGTAGAGGGGAACGAGGATGAGGACGCTGACCTTGTACAGCCACGGTGGGGTCAGGCAGCACCCAGTTAGCGCCCTTGGAGCACGGGTGGCTGCTGCCCCCCTCCCAAAGCTCTCGGCCTCCCTTGGCTGATGCCAGCTGCTGACTCATCTCCCCTCTGTGTGCCTGACAGATCCTGGGTCTGAGGTCTTTCAGGGGCTGCTTCTGAGGTAGCCCCGCTCTCCCATCGGCCACAGCAGCCTTCCCGAGGCAGTGCTGGTGCAGACCCCTCCAGGACCCTGGTATGACCTGGGCACGTTCAATAGCAACCCGAAAACCACTGAGGACAAGGCACCCACAAGGAGACACAGTACCCCAGGGCCGAGGGCAAGGGTGCCAGGACACCCCTGCAGTCAAGCCCCCATGGTTCCCAGGTAGCTGGAACCTCAGCGAGGCAACTGAGCCAAAGGGCCCCTCGGCCCCAAGAGGGAGATGGAGGGCGGGCTCTTCTGGCTGGCAAGCCTGGTGGCCTGGCATCTTCCTTCATGGGCCACAGGGAGCTGGGAACAAGAAGGGACAGAGCGGCTGGCCCTGAGGGCTCAGGCGTTCCTGTGGCATACACAGGAAGAATGGCCCAGCTCCCCCAGGGGCCAGGCTTTCCAGGGGTACGGCCATGTGCCATCGGTGAAGGCAGGCCCAGAAACATCAAGGGGATCAGGTGCAGGAGTGCAGGTTTCAGGGGCGACAATTTCTGGATGCAAACCCTGGCTCTGGACCCCAGGAGCCTCAGTGTCCTAATCTGTGTAATGGGGACAAACAAGCACCCTCTTGCCTCACTTGCCCGTGAAGGCGGTACCGGTCAAGGGCAAGAGGGTGACGGAGTCACAGGAAGCAGGGACAGCAGCCCAGCCTGGGGAGGGGTCCCAAGTGCTTCCAGAGCCCAGACAGAAGGGAAGCTGTCAACAGTGCAAACCCCTGGCTTTATTGGTCGGGTTTGTTCACAGGGAGGCTTCCCAAAGCAGGGGTTCTGAGGACGCCCCCCTCCTCCTGCCCCATGTGTGTGTTCTCTGCCCTTGTGCCCGGGAGGAAGGGAGGTGGCTCTTTGGGGGGCGGTGGCTCCAGGGTAATTTTGTGTGGAGCCTAGGGTCTGTTCTTCAGAGCAGGAGGTAGAAGGGAATCACATAAAGTTCTTTATTACAGACCTACAAAAAATGAGAGAATTATAGATTACTCTCACTTGTTTGGGTTTCTTTTTTCCTTTTTATAAAACAGCAGCAGGAAAGAAAAAGGCAGGAGGAAGACGGGCCTGGCACCGGGGCGTGGATCAGAAGGAACCAGGGAGATGCGGGCCGAGAGGTCACTGCCAGCTGGCCTGGGGCTCCCTCCAGCATCCCGGGAGAATGGACTAGCCCTGTGGGAGCAGGCAGAGGATAGTGGTGGTGGTGGTGGGGAGGCGGCTGTCCCCAGATCAGCAGCAGCCACGTTCCTCTGGCACTCAGCAGGGCTGGAAGCACGCGAGGCTCCCGTGTGTGGGGGCCCGGTCTCCGAAGCATGGGCCCGCAGGGGCCGGACAGAAGGGAGGAGGCAGGAAGGGCCAACACAGAAGGGCTCTGAGTTCTATCGGGGACCCTCCTGGCACCATGGGGGTTCAGGGGGCAAGGGCAACCAGGCCTCCTCCCTGCTTGTCAGCCAATGAGCTTCTTCAGGAAGGCCTCCAGCTGGTCCTCGTCCTTGATGCCCACAAACTTGTCCACCACGTCCCCGTTCTTGATGGCCAGCACGGTGGGCACAGCTGATACCTACGTGGAGGAGATGAAGGGAGACCAGGTCACCCGGAGACGGACTTTTCTCAACGGCTGTTCCCCAGCCTTTGTGGTGAAGGCTGGCGGTATACGGAGGGCAGTGACTGCCCAAGCGGCGGGCGGGGCCCTTTCCCTTGGTGCAGGGGTGCCGCAGGGCCTGAAGGTTCACCCGCTGGAAAGACTTTTCCACTGTGGGCTCCCGGCGGTCCCCTTCCTTCCCCAACCGCAGGACTGACTCACTGGCCCAGTGGTTTGGCTCCAATGGAGGAGGGATGAAAATAGCGCACACAGCTGCAGGCCAGGGCTGGGGGGCAGGGGGGAGCCCCCCGAGGGGCAATCCGGCCTAGCGCGGGGGAGGCGCAGAGATGTGAGGGTCTGAGCCCTGGCTCTGGCGCTCCCCAACAGGCCGCGCCGCCCTCAGGGGCTCGGCGCCCTCTTCTGTAAAATGGGGGCGACAGGATAGACCTTCAAGGCTTAGGACAGAGATGAAAGATTCACAGATAAAGCTGGGTGGTTGGGGGCTCAGGCTCCGGAAGGGGCTGACCTGAAGCCAGGCCGCTCTGCAGAAGCCCCTTCATTGCTCCGTCTCCCTGTTCCCATCTGCACAATGGAGCCACTGAGCGCCCCCGTTCCAGGTCCGGGGCCGCACCAGGTAAGGCGAGCAGTCTCAGCGCCTGGCAGGGCCCTCGAGGGTCAGACCTGGCTGCGCCCGGTATGCAGGGACGTTCAACAAATGGTGGCCACAGAGAGCGTGTCAGTAAGGTCTAACAAGCCCCGTCGCTCGCTGCTGTGAATGGCCAGCAGGGTCCAGAAAGTCACTGACTCATACTGGACGGTGTGGGAGGAAGGGCTCAGCCATACATGAGCTGATGTTTATTTATCGGGGGGGACGGAGGGCAACATTCTTGGCCTATGAAGCGTTTTCTCAAGTTCCCTCGGGGGACCCGTACAGATTCCATGGCACGTCCACGAGGCCCACTGCCTGCTGTGGCATCGAGTATTTTCTGCGGCCTGGGCTCCCTGCCTGACATTTGTAGACTTTTTTTTTTTTTTTATAAAAAATGGATAAACAGAACAAGATAAACATTCTTTTGTTACACATGTTAACTACAAAGTAACAACAGCAATTTACACAAACATACCAAGTCTTCGTGAATTCCGAGTGCGGTCCTGCCCATGAGTCACCCTGGGGAGCCAGACTTGGGAGTTCGAAAGGCGTCCAGGTCAGTTACAAGAGAACCGAACGCCACACTGGCCCGCTCTCCAGTCTTGGGGGGCTGCCCCCATTGACTTCCCATGGCAGGCCCCGCCCGCCTCCCCTAACAGGTTCTGGGTGGATAGACAGCAGGGGAGATGATGCGGTCCCTGTTCGTATGAGTCCCATGAAACCCCGTCAAGGACTGTCCTGGGGCTGATGCAGGTGGCAGAGGGAAATGTGCAGGGAGACCCACGTGGCAGCGGGCTGACCATGTGCGTGCCCCAGTTTGTGGTCCTACCACTGGCTCTTGCCCTCATGGCTCATGACTGTGATACGCGAGGTGGCATGAAGGGCAGAGATCCAGCGGGTAGCCTGCCCTGTCTCCAGGCACAGGCCAGGGCCCAGGGAGACTTGCTGCAGATCGTACCATGGGATGCCTCAAGGCGGGCATGGAGCTGTGTGTTTTATCTTTTTTTAAAAGTTTTTTTTTTTTTTTTTTTTTTTTTTTTTTTACCCAACCTGGGGCTTGAACTCACAACCCGAGATCAAGAGTCACACACTTTGGGGACGCCTCGGTGGCTCAGTTGGTTGGGTGTCTTGTCTGCCTTTGGCTCACGTCATAATCCCAGGGTTCTGAGATGGAGCTCCGAGTTGGGCTCCCAGCTCAGTGGGGAGCCTGCTTCCCCCCTCTCCCTCGCTATCTCTCTCCCCATCTCTCAAATAAATAAAATACTAAAAAAAAAAAAAAAAAAAAAAAAAAAAGTCACACAGAAAGAGCCAGCCAGGTGCCCCCAGAGCTGTGTTCTTATGCGCCCTCTAGTGGCCTGTGAGGGCAGCTACGGCGCCTGGAGTCTACCCACTCCACTGAGGGACAAGGCTCAAGCCCTAACTGGATTCCACCCCGTCCTGTTTCTGTAACTGCATAAAAACTATATGCTGGTGCATGAGAAGGGGTCTAATGGCTTTTACATGTCCTCTAAGTAGGACTACGCTGGCCGGGGTGGCTGGGAGTGGTGTCAGTTCTTAGGGACACCAGACGAGTCCTACCATGATCACATCCGTGCAAATGCACAGACACAGCCACGCTGCAGACATAGAGCAGACATTCCAAGGTCTAGTCCTTACTGACCAAGGGCGCTCTTCGGAGGGGGAGCCTAAATCAGACGACTGTACACAGCCACACACTTGCCAGAGGCTGTTTTTTCCAAGACACGGCTGGAGCACCTGGACTGGGATTGGGCTTCCCTCCCCGAAAGGAGGAGGATGTGGCTTTGCTTGTAAACACGGCCTTAAATGGAAGCGCGTGGGTCCTTGGCACACTCCTCTGGAATGTGATCCAAGTGGAAGAGGGGCCGCAGGGGAACAGGACCGCTGCTTCCCTCTGCGCTCTGCCCGAGCAGCTGGAGGGAGGACCAACGGATGCGCTGAGATGTGCTGCTCCTCCTGCTCTGTGATGCCGCCTCCTGGAGCCTCCCAGGCTGGGCCAGAGATGCTGAGACCTCAGGGCAGGGTGTGTGCGTGTCCGTGTGCGCACATGCCCGTGTGCGCACATGCCCGTGCGTCTGTCCCCGCCGACCTCCAGCCCAGCCCCGCACTGCCTTGGAGCTCAAGGATCCTGCAGAGACTTCCCAGCCTCCCCTCCCCCCATCTGTGAGGCCCTACCAGGGGACAGGGACCATGCCAGCTGTCACACAGGTCGGGGACTCCTTCTCGGCTAACTGCAGAACGAACGCAAAGGAAAATATGACCGGTGGTGAGGCCGCTGTGTACTGGGGGACCTCAAGTGTCGGGGAGATGCTAACCACTTGCGGACATGACCTCATAAATTCGTGCCTCAAGGTGGGGTCACCTTACAGATGAGAAGACCGAGGCCCGAGAGCGGAGTGACCAAGTGACGGAGCTGGGGTCTGACACAGGATCTATGACTCTGCTGTCCCTGATGTCTCACCGTGCCCCGAGCTGGCCTGGGAGCTCCTGAGCCCTGGCAAGGCAAGGAAGCGCAGGTGGGGAGGTGCCGAAAGGCTGACTCCATACTTCAAATGAGAAGCTTCTGGATGCAGGAGAATTCTTGCAAAAGGCTATTATTATGATTATTACTTTTTTTTTTTTTATTTGTCAGATCACAAGTAGGCAGAGAGGCAGGCAGAGAGAGGAGGAGGAGGCAGGCTCCCCGCTGAGCAGAGAGCCCAATGTGAGGCTCGATCCCAGGACCCTGAGATCATGACCCGAGCCGAAGGCAGAGGCTTTAACCACTGAGCCACCCAGGCGCCCCTATGATTATTACTTTTTAAAGATTTTATTTTTTTCTTAAGTCATCTCTGCACCAGTGTGGGACTAGAACCCACAACCCTGAGATCAAGAGCTACATATACCACAGACTGAATCAGCCAGGTGCCCCAGGCAAAAAAAACCCTATTATTAAAAAAAAAAAAAAAAAAAAAAAAATCAGGGGCGCCTGGGTGGCTCAGTGGGTTGAGCCTCTGCCTTCGGCTCAGGTCCTAATCCCAGGGTTGTGGGATCGAGCCCCACATCGGGCTCTCTGCTCAGCGGGGAGCCTGTTCCTCCCACCCTCTGCCTGCCTCTCTGCCTACTTGTGATCTGTCAAATAAATAAATAAAATCTTAAAAAAAAAAAAATCAAATCCAGGAGCGCCTGGGTGGCCGGTCAGTTAGGTGTCTGACTCTTGATCTCAGCTCAGGTCTTGATCTGATCAGGGTCGTGAGTTCAAGGCCCACGCTGGGCTCTGAGCTCAGAGCTGGGCATGGAGCCTACTAAAAAAAAAAAACAAAACAAAACGAACAAAAAACCTAATCCAACTATGCAACATTCTGGAAAAGGCAAAACTATGGAGACAGTAAAAAGATCAGTGGTTACCAGGGGCCCAAGGGGAGGAGGGAGGAGAACGAGGAGCACCGGGGACCTAAGATGGTGAAACTCTTCTCTACAGAACTGTGATGGTGGATCCACGTGGCTGCACACTTGTCAAAACCCATGAGACGGACACCACCAGGTGGGAGTCCTCGCACGCCCCCCAGAAGGTCAGCAGAGGCCTTTGGAACTTTCACTTCTTGACGTTTGGTTCCACGTGCTGCCAGTGGTCACTGAGAAGCCTGCAGGAAAGCAGGGTCTTTGGCTCTTCCTAGACCTACTGATTCCTCATCTGCTTTTTTTTTTTTTTTTTTGAAGATTTTATTTATTTATTTGACAGACAGAGATCACAAGTAGGCAGAGAAGCAGGCAGAGAGAGAGAGAGAGAGAGAGAGAGAGAGAGGAGGAAGCAGGCTCCCTGCGGAGCAGAGAACCCAATGTGGGGCTCGATCCCAGGACCCTGGGATCATGACCTGAGCTGAAGGCAGAGGCTTAAACCCACTGAGCCACCCAGGCGCCCCTCCTAATCTACTTCTATTTTTTATTTATTTATTTTTTTGCTTTTTTTTTTTTTTTTTTTAAGATTTTATTTATTTGAGAAAGAGACAGTGAGAGAGAGCATGAGCGAGGATAAGGTCAGAGGGAGAAGCAGACTCCCCGTGGAGCTGGGAGCCCGATGTGGGACTCGATCCGGGAACTCCGGGATCATGACCTGAGCCGAAGGCAGTCGTACAACCAACTGAGCCACCCAGGCGTCCCTCTAATCTACTTTTAAACAATATCCCAGATCATATGAATGTTTGTGAGGCACTGATCTAGAATACTTTTGAAGTATGGGGTATGGTAATAATTGAAGTACTATGCTCTCCAGCCATGAAATACTACTACTCAATGAACTGTTCTATGAGGTTATGTGAAACATTAAAAGGGAAAAAATTCAAATAAAAGCTTAAATCACCCCAAATTGTGACAATGATTGTATTGGGATTCTAAGATGACAGGTGACTTTTCCTCCTTATTATTTAAACCTGGCTGTTTTTCCACTGCTTTTTAAAATGTCTTCTTCTTTATATGAGGAGAAAATAAAAGGATAACAGCTCCAAGTGGGAAGTCAGAAGAAGCCCTGAAGGAGAGCACAGAGGCTCCAGGGCCCACGCCTGGATCTGCTCTTTGCCCCTGTAGCTGGCAAGGTCTGAACGATTAGGGAACGCCCGGCCATCCAGTGGGGACGAGGAGCTGGGAGAGCAGAGAGCTTTTTTTCGGCCAAGTCAGGGCAGTGCACAAACAGCGTGGATGGGGCGGGGGGGGGGGGGGCGGCACATCGAAACCCCAAGGCCCCCAGGCTTTCCCTTCCTTCTCCTTTGAGAGACAGTGGAGTTCTAGGGTGGGCAGCTGACCGAAGCAGAGGTGTGGGGCAAGGGGAATTTGTGTGAGGAAGGAGACTCACCCTGAGGGTGTGTGCTGGGAACGGGCTGGGGCCGAGGGGATTGGGGGGTGAGGGGGAGTTCAGGAAAGCTCGGGGAGAGGCGCCAAATTCCCTGAATATAATTTAAAGTACTTTCTCCCACATGTTCACCCAACACTTGGAAAAGGAGGAAGCTGTCTCAGGAGGTACTACGGATCTCTCGGCTGAAACTTCTTCCTCGGGCTGTCTTCCAGAAGAACAGGTGTGAAGGAAGGAAGGAAGGGCTAGGGGAGGGGGTCAGGACAACCCCGGTTGGAGCTTCCTTAGCACTGCAGTGACATCCGCCCGGGGCCTCACAAAACAAGGAGGCCAGGACCAGGTGATGCAGGCCCAGCCGCCCTGAGGTCCTCCTGAGTGACCTGGACAGCGGTCAGAGGGAGGAGTGAGAAGATCCTGTAAGGGGACCCTCCTCCAATACACACACTTTCCAAGCCTAACTATAGGACCTTGGTGGCCAGCCCGACGTCACCAGGCTCCCCGGAATGCGGGTGGGGACAGGTTACTCTTCTTCCAGTCTGCACCAGCTAACCACAGCTCCTGAACCATGGCTGGCGCTCAGGGGGTGTCTGCTGAGAGGTTCCACTGGCTGAGGCTGACTGCTGCGGTGTCAGGAACTGGCCTGTGACACCTTATACTTGCCGGTCACCCTGGGGAATGTTCTAGCCGCTCCAATTCCAAGCTCTTCCCCGTGATGTCTCACTGTGCCCCATGCTGGCCTCGGAGGAGGGAGGGATGGACAAGTAGGAGAAAGACAGGGGCATCTAAATGGCCAGTAAGTGCCCCCTGGACTGAAAGGTCAGTGGGAGGGCTTCAGAAAAACAGCACCTCGGGGCACCTGGCTGGCTCAGTCAGTAGGGCATGTGACTCTCGATCTTGGGGTTGTGAGTTCGAGCCCCATGTTGGGGGTATTGTTTACTTAACAAAACAAGCACAAAAATAGCAAGTCATCCTTCCCCACCAAGCCCGTGTAAGCAGCCCAGTGCCACGGACTCTTCCTTCAGTAAGGCCCCCTTCCCCACCTGCAGTGGTCATCAGTGGCCATGCCTGCCCAGCATCTACTTCCTTTGCCTCTGTCTGGAGCAGATGTTTCCGTGGGTGACCACTCTCACCCCAGCGCAACAGGCAGCCAGCTTATCCTCACCCCAGCTGGAGGCCGCACTGCTACCCGGTGGTCTTGTGAGCGCTGAACCTGGACTTACAAACTCGGAAGAGAACAGGCCCCCACTTCTAGTCACTGGCTGCCCAGAAGGAAGGAAGGATGGAGGCTCAGTCTGGCCAGATCTTCAGGAGAACAAGAAATTTGGATTTTCATGTGAAATCTCTGTTTTAGATACAAACATCTGGTTCACTATTTGAAAAAAAGAACCCAAAGGCCAGGTCAAATATGTTGGGGAACCAGATCTGGCCATGGGCCACCAAGTATGGCTCGATAAGAATAGTATCCTCATCATGGCTTTCCCGACCTCTTCCCCTCTGGCCGTGGCCAACTTCCCCAGCGGCCTGTGCTCTCACTCCCTGCTCAGTTCTCCACACTGGCCATCCAGCCACAGTGCACCTCTTCCCTTTCTCTAGCTGTCCTGGTCTCCGAGGCCAGGAGGACGCCCTCACACCCCATGCATCTCCCACTCCAGGCAAACAGGCACTGCTATCCTGTGAGCAAACTGGGCTCACCCTGACCACAGGGCCTTTGCATCTGATGTCTGTTCTGCCTAGATTGCTCTTCCGAAGAGCTGCCTGGTTCACTTCCTTACTCTAAGTCTTTGCTCGGATGTCAGCTTCTCAGAGAGGTATTCCTGAGTCCACCTTTTTTTTTGTTTATTTATTTACTTATTTATTTTTAAACGAAGGTCTACAGCCAATGCAGGGCTTGAACTCACAACCCTGAGATCAGAGTCGCATGTTATCACGGCAACAGCCCGGTGTCCCACCATCCACCCTTTTAAAAATGAACCCCTCCCCAGCCCCATGCTTAGTCCCATCTCCTCTTCCTGATTTACTTTTCCCCACAGTACCTATCCTCTAAAGCAGGGGTCAGTGAACTATGGCCCACTGGCCAAACCCAGCTTGCTGCCTAATTGTGTGAATAAAGTTTTATTGGCACACGACTACACCCATTTGTTTATACACGGTCTCTGGCTGCTTTCCATGGCGGCTATTTGCAACACAGACCAATGCCCCGTAAAGCCTCAAACCTGGTCCTTTAGAGAAAAAGTGTGCCGACCACCCATGAAAAATACTAGATGGAGGCCTGGTGGCTCAACTGGTTAAGCATCTGCCTTCGGCTCAGGTCACGATCCTGGGGTCCTGGAATCGAGCCCCGCATCGGACTCCTTGCTCAGTGGAGAGTCTGCTTCTCCCTCTCACTGCTGTTTCCCCTGCTTGTGTACCCACTCTCTCTCTGACAATAAATAAAACCTTAAAGAAAAAACCAACCAGCTAGAATGTAGGCTCCACGAAGGCAGGGATTTTACCTGCTTTGTCCACTGCCTTATGAGCAACTGAGAGACAGCACCTGGCATTTAAGAGACACCGAACACGCACACCAACGAAACACGTTGGACTCCTTCCTGTCTCACTGTGTGCCGTGCGCTTGGCCCTTCTTCTCATGCATCCTCCATGGCCCCACTCAGCAGTCCCCCTGGTGGGAACCATCCCTCCTTCCCCACCACCGCCCCAGCAGTCAGTCTCTTCCACACCTCTGCTCTTAGCACTCCTCACCATACCGTGAAATGAAATGTCTACCTGTTGTTCTTTTGCTAGACTAAGAGTGCTGCACACAAGGAAGTCGTCTTCCTTGTGCCAGGACTTCCTTGTGCCAGAGTCACGAATGCCCGGCATGTGGCAGGGCTCCCACGTAACTACTGATTGAATATGAGCACGAGTGAATATATGAACGAAGGAACGCACCCATGTCCCAAGATTCAGAGAATAAGCTGGTGTTTTGGATCACACATTCCACTTCCTAAAGGTGGTAAAGGGACATGAGTGGTTCAGAACCTCAACAGGTCACAACCGCAAAGCGCTCTGAACTGAGCGCGCTAGAAAAAACTGAGACGCCCCTTATTGGCTACTGGTGGCCCCCAAGCCATGTCCCGCCCAAGCACCCCCCATACCAGCCGCTCTGGGGCAGTCCTCTGCCACCTCATACCTCATATTCTAGGGCGAGGTCTGTGTGGTCGTCAATATCCACCTTGGCCATCACCACTTTTCCGTGCTGCTTGGCCACCACCTTCTCTAACCTTGGTCCCAGGATCTTGCATGGGCCACACCACCTGACAAGGGGAGAGAAAAGGCGTGCAGTCACAGGAGCGCTCAGCAATCGATCTTCTGTCTCCCCAGAACCCTCCCTTGAACTACACCTTGCCGAGGGGCCTTCTGCCCCTCTCAGCTCTGTGTATGGCAACTATGAACCTGTAATGATGATATGCCAAACGATAAAGCCAGCACTCCGCAGCAGGGGAATCTGCAGAGGTCCCGGGCTTCTAAAACACAGTCTGTGTCAGAACACAATAGAGAAATACACTGTCATCCAGAAAATGTGAGATTTGAAGTTAAAAGATCTAGGTTCAAACAGAGACTCCTCACCAGCCAGTTGACTGTCCTGGGGCCTCAGTTTCCTCTTTTCAAGTAACAGAGATTATGTATCTCAAGGCAGTGAGGAGACAGCCACTAAGGCAATGGGGCTCAGGGTGCTCTCTAAAATGCGGACTTACTTCACACACTTCACGGGCCCAGAACCACAGGGAGGAGAAGCCAGTACGAGGGAGCATCTCCAACATCCTTGTCACTATGCCAGGATCTTCTCTGTTTTTACTGCCCAGAGCCCTCAGCCCCACAAAGAAAAACACCTTCCTAAGAAACTAAGGACCATACAGGTCCTGGAGGCAAGGTCCCAGAGTCTGACAGGCATCCTGGGACTGCAACCCAAGGTTGTCCTCCAAATGTCTTCTTTGAGCCCTGGGTTATTCTGTGATCCCCAGGCCCTGGGTCAATGCTGGCACTGCACTCATCACAGGGGCGCCCCTCTGGGTGGTGAGCTCCGCGACGACAGGCTGTCCTCTCCAGGGCACTAAACAAACTCACATCTTATTTTCTGGTCAGAGAAGAAAATGAGGCATCATCCCACTTATCATTCATTTTGGGAGTCCTCGCTATACGAAGAAGGGAGAAAGCTCTGCTGGCCATGAGCTCCTGGGCGACGACCCTTATTTTAAGTCTCAGCCTTTAAAAAACAATTTCCGGTCAGAGATTTCAATTAATTGAACTCAAAACACCTAAAAACCCAGCTTGCAAGATCTTATCTCCTATTATAAGTGAAGAAGGGGAGGCACAAGGACATCAAGCGACCTGCACAAGGCAACATGGTGAGTTAGGGAGAAAGAACAGGAAAGAAAGCAGAACAATCTGTCAGAGATTTGCCTAGAAGGTCTCCCAACTTCTAACCCAGCCTACACCAAGAGGCCTCAATCTGAGGGGTTTGTCCAAGTTCTTTTGTGGCCAGCTGGCTAGTCAGGACCTGAAGTCTGGAAATGAGGAAAGCCACGATAACAATCCGAAGGCTACAGGCATTTAACTATTCCTACAACTCACTTCTACAGCACTGAAAAGAAAACCCTGCCCAACCCCCGTGTGCTTGGGCAGCACTACGGTGCAACGATAACTTTCTGCCAGCCCTTTCCCACTTCGGTGGCAAGATGTTAAAAATCAGCTTATCTGCAAGGCCAGGAATTGGTGTCCACCCAAAGCCAGATGATGTGACCGTCCTATTTTTCCTGCTTTGGTCCAAGTTGAAGGGGCCTCTGAGCCATTTGGAGAGTGAGATACAGAACGTGAGTGTTTCTCAGCTCCAATGACAGTGAGCTCTGAAGACTGTTCACTAGTCTGTGTCCTATCAGACTACACTCAATCTTTGAGTGCGAGGGGTGGGTCTTACCGGTCTTCGGAATGAGACTGTGTCTGAGAAGTATGAAACGCGGGACTGAGACAGAACAGGTACTCAACAAATTCCTGCACAAGAAACACCCCAGTCTTCTGCTGACCCCCAGGACTTACTGTGCATGGAAATCCACAACCACCGGTGTTTCACTGTTGACAACTCGGTCTTGAAAGTCGGGTCCATCCTGGATGTTAAAGGTGGTTGTGCACACTCTGGTGGTGTATACTGACCGGGCTTGGTTAGGTGTTACTGTCAGGTTACCAGGACTGCACTGCGGGGTCCTGAGGGTGACGGGTGCCCACCGACCCTGAGGGGGCTTCCTGGAGATGACGGAGGCCAGAAACCTCCTCAGGAGAAGTCGCTGAGCCATCTGTGAGGGAAAAAGGCAGGAAGAGTGCAGGAAGTCAACACACCAGGAAAAGAAAGGTATCTGGGCAGTACTGGGGAGCGGCGGCTCAAGATTCAGGGCGTGAAGAAGAATACCAGGAAATGATACTAAGATTTCTGGAGTAGAGGTTAAGTGAAGAATGAGAATCAAAAGCAGAAGGAATCGCAAACCAGGACAGGAAAACTGGGCTGACAACGAAAACGAAATCAGGATGTGGAAGGAGTTACAACAGAAGCGAGGGAGGAACCTACATTTACGGCGCACCTGCTAAGGGCCAAGTCCATCCTCATCCCCAAGTGCCCTACACACGTTAGGGTTCTGCCAGCTCACCCTGGAGGAGGTTTCTACAGTATTGCTCGCATCACAGATGAGGAGTCCGAGGCTCAGGTAATGTGACATGTCCAAAGAAACCTAACTATTAAATGAGAGTCAACACTGGAACCCAAGGCCGTCTGCAAATTCTTTATTACTCATTTAACAGGCATTTTAATGGGGAATTACGGGAAAAGGGTATTGTCAAAGGATCAAGAAAGAGGAATCGAGACAATTCGAGGAAAACTAAGAGGCTCAGGAACAGGAGTGTGTGTGGGGGTTCTAAAAAAGAAAGGACCTGTCTGAGGAGGGACTGGGGAATCGGACGCCACCGGGGATCCTGTCCAACCGAGGAGAGGCCCCCCCACCCCCGCCCGGGGCCTCCGCCCGCTCGGCCGCCGGACAGCGCAGGAACAGGCCCGGAGCGTGTCTCCGCCGCGACGCCACCTCGAGCCACCCCCACGAGCCTCCTACCTCCCTGCAGCGCGAGCGGAGGGATGCACAGCCCGGCCCTCCCCGCTCGTCAAGGGCACTCCCGCCGTCACTTCCTCAGGGGAGGGCCCTTCGAGCATTACTTCCGGGGACAGGCAACCAGAGCATCTCTCTCCGCAATTTGAGGGGCGGCTTGGATTTTCCACCAATGGGGATGGCGGGAGACAGCATAGAGGAAGGGGTGGAGCTTCAGTTAGGGACCGGAAGAGGGGGAGAGAACGGAAGAAGGGGCGGCCCGGGGGGGGGGGGGGGGCCGGGGGGGGGGGGGGGCCCGGGGGGGGGGGGGGACCGGAAGAGAGGGCGGGCTGTTGGGGAAGGACCGGAATACGGTGTGGCCTTGGGGAGGGGCCGGAATAGGCGGGCGGGCCCTAGAAGAGGTTCGGGAAGAAGGGGAGGAGGCAGGTGGTGGAGGCATAGGGGAGGTACCCATGGGAGAAAGGGGCGGGAGGAAGGCGTGGTTCCGGATCTTGCAAACTCTGGCACCGCCCACCGCTTTGCCTCAGTTACTTCCAAAAACTGGAGGTGCGCAAGGTTCCTTCTCTCCATTTTGCAGATGAGGCAGCTGAGCTCCTCGAAGGCGGAGTGCTGGTCGGGGGCAGAAGACCCTGACTGGGCGTAAAGAGGACGTGTCCCAGGCTGGAGTCACAGATCGCGTCTTCCCCGCACCCTGAATTTACATTATTACCGCCACTCGGGACCTCGTGGCTCTAGAAATGTATCACTGCCTTTTTCCTGCTCCTTGGCTTTGCTCAGTTTGAAGTGCTTTTCTTTCTCTTTCCACTTGGTGGAACATCTACTAATCACTTCTTACAATCACCTTTTTTTTTTTTTTTTTTTTAAGATTTTATTTACTTATTTATTTGGCAGAGAGATGGAGAGAGAGCACAAGTAGGCAGAGTGGCCGGGAGAGGGAGAGGGAGAAGCCAGCTCCTTGCTGAGCAGGGATCCCAACGCGGGGCTCTATCCCAGACTGACCCGAACCGCAGTGGTCCGAACCAACTGAGCCACCCAGGCATCCCATCATTGTTTCTTCTTTGAGCAGCATTAACTGCTTCCTTCTCTGCAGTGCTTTGCTCGTAACTCTTGCATAACACATTGTACAGTGTCTGTCTCTTTCCCTAGACCATAGCTTCCTGACAGCAGGAATTTGTAGCTTTTATTGGAAGACATTTGCCCAGGAACCTGATACAGTGCCTGGCTTACAGAGGATGTTCCATAGAACTGCTTATTAAACAGTATCTTTGGATATCTCAGGGAATGGTTTGCAGAAAGGTTATATGACTTGTCCAAGGTCACAAGGCAGGTTAATTGGCAGAGCTCCAGCTCACACCTCCATTTCGACCTACCTGCCAGCCAGTGGGAATCCCTTACAGTTCCAGAATTTGCTTAAATGTCTCTCCTCTCCCTGAGTTTTGCAGTTGCTACTCTCTATGACTGGAAGGCTTTTCCCTCTCCTCTCCATGGGAGAAAATGCCACCAGATACCAGACTAGGTATCATCTTTGGAGACCCTTCCCTGAGTCTCGAGTAGGAGACTTGTCTTCTGAACTTCCACAGCCTCTGTGCATCTGTCAGTCAACAACCACACTCAACACTCTGCTGGTACTGTTTCTTTTTCTTTGCTTCCACTGTATTTATTCATAAAAAAAGTGTTAAGGGGTGCCTGGGTGGCTCAGTGGGTTAAAGCCTCTGCCTTCAGCTCCGGTCATGATCCCAGGGTCCTGGGATTGAGCCCCGCATCGAGCTCTCTGCTCAGCAGGGAGCCTACTTCCTCCTCTCTCTCTGCCTGCTTCTCTGCCTACTTGTGATCTCTCTCCCTCTCTCTGTCAAATAAATAAATAAAATCTTTAAAAAAAAATGTTAAAAAGAAAAAAAAATGCCAGGCACCCGTCTGGCTCAGTCAGAGGAGCATGTGACTCTTGATGTCAGGGTTGTGAGTTCAAGCTCCATGTTGGGTGTAGAGATTACTTAAAAATAAAAATGAAAAATATAGGGAAACCTGGATGGTTCAGTCAGTTAAGTATCTGACTTTGGCTTAGGGCATGATCTTGGGGTCCTGGGATCGAGCCCCGTGTCAGGCTCCCCTTTCAGTGGGGAATCTGCTTGTCCATTTTCCCTCCCCACCCCCACTCATTCTCTCTCTCACATAAATAAATAAGTAAATAAATAAAATCTTTTAAAAAACAAAAAATCTAAACAAGCAAATATAATTCATTCTCTGTTTTCCAACGGCTCTCATCCTTCCCTCTTGCCCACACAACTCCTGACCCATTTCCTCAGGTTCAGTTCATGACCGAACCTGTTCACTGCCGATTTCACAGAAAATAGCCAGTGCCTGGGATGGAGGGGAAGAAGACAGGAAGAGGGCCACAATACTGTCCAGGTTTCATCCAGAGGTAGGCCAGGTGGCGATTCACAGAATTCAGATGAGAGGGCTGGTGGCCTCCCAATGATGGAGTCTCACTAAAGTGGGCTGGAGAGGGGATAGGGTAACCTGTCAGAGCATTAAAGGACATTTCATGGGCTGCGTCAAACCCAGAAAAACCAATGCTAAGAGAAGGATGGGGAGGCCAGGGAGGCATGCTGGGACATGCGGGAAGCCTAGAGGGCACCAAGAGCCTTGTTCATTTTGACAGAAAAACTTCCTCGGGTGTGGGAAGGTCACAAAGATGCCCCAGACACTGAGAAGGGCCACAAAGGACACACGTGCAGTGGCCACAGACCGGAGCCGTGGGGGTTGTGCTTCTGATGCAGAAACCACAAAATAGTCTCAGCTTCCTCCTTCCTCACTCCTCATGACACTGTCAGTTCTCGAAGGGTCCATGTGTCTCTCCACTGCTTACCTCAAGGCCTGGGGGGCCTTGGTAGGTGCTCAGTGATGTTTTGTTCCAGGAACAGAGCGCAGGAGCGTAAATCCCATCTTCTCATCCCAAATCTCATTTTTTCTGCCATATTACATGGCTCCATTAGACCCTTCCCATATCGCTGCCGTATTCCGCCTCCCTTCGTCTTGGCCATATTTGTTCCCTGTGCAATGGGCAGGTTCACTCCCTCACTCCCCCAGCCTGCACAGCCACGGCTGTGCGGGGACCTTCCTCCGGGATGGGGGAGGGAATCTCCCTCCTGGTCATCAGCTCCATCAGCCTCCCATGTCCTAGACTGTCCATCACAGGCATGAGACTAAGGGTACGGGCAGATGCGGCCCTCTCCACCCTGTCTGACCTCTTGCTTAGGCCTGGAGCCAGTGGTGGTAATCCACAGCGGGAGCCCCAATACCTCTGGCTCCCCTGACAGCATCCCTTGGTGCAGCTGTTTTGCTAACACAGATGCCATCTGGCGGGGGTGCTGTCTCCCTTGCCTGTGCTCATTTCTGTTTTCCTGTACCTCCCTCACTTTCTCTTCTAATCACTTCTTTTTTTTTTAATTTTAAAGATTTTATTTATTTATTTGACAGGGAGAGAGAGATCACAAGTAGGCAGAGAGGCAGGCAGAGAGAGGAGGTAGCAGGCTCCCGCTGAGCAGAGAGCCCGATGCGGGGCTCGATCCCAGGACCCTGAGACCATGACCTGAGCCGAAGGCAGAGGCTTAACCCACTGAGCCACCCAGGTGTCCCTTCCAATCCCTTCTTAATCCTATTTGTCCTGTCCGCTGAAGGCACTTTCTGGTAGGCTGATTTCCCTGCTTAGTTCACATGCCGAATTCCAAAGAGGGACCAGTCCTGCTTATCCTAATTCCATAGTCACTTCACCTCTTGGCCTCAGGCTTCTCATCTGAGCAATAGGAAGAATGATGCCTTCCTCAGAGGGGCTGTGAGGCTGGGAGAAGGACTGAGAATGGGGCCTAGCACACTGTCAGTGCCTGATGACTGATGAAATCTCTCTCCCCCTCTCTCTCTCTCTCTCTCTGCAGGGAGGGAGCCTCTGACAAGGCAGCCCTCACAGTAGGCCACAGAGGGTCTCCTCAGCTCCATGCTGGTGCATCTGCCCAGCCAGAGCTCCCCGGGCGTGGGTCCAGCTCAGTCACCAGGCGGCTCAGGGCACAGGTATGAGAGGAGGGGAAGAGAGCCAAGGCTAGCAGCCTGAGCTAGGGGTAGCTTATACTGCTGTCTCTTGCTGAAATTTACTGCAGTGGTTTTTAAACTGCAGGATGTGAGCTATCGGTGGGTTTGTGAAATTAATAGATGGGTTAGGATCCGCTTTAAAACAAACAAATGGAATTGAAAATGTCAAAGTACGTTGTAAGTTACGAGGATGATTTTGTGCAACAGTTGTTGGTGTTATGTGTCTGTGTGTGTGTCCTGGGTTGTGATGTAGAATGTTTCTTGCTGTGGGTCGTGTTCAGAGGGTTTGGAAGCCGTTGATTTCATACAGAAGAGCTACCAAACAGCCAACACTGTGCTAAGTACCCTGCGCGTATCAACTCACTTCATCCTACAGCCCTGTGAGTTCCCATCTCGCGGATGGGGAAAATGAGGCGCATAGAGGTTACATAGATTGTCCAGGGTTACCCAAATAATAGGAAGTAGAAGCTTAAAGGTGTTCTACTGCCCCTAGCAAGGGGCTGATTTGACTCTAGACTGCTGCTACCCACCCACGCCCCTTCAATCCCTGCAGACCAGCCAGCCAGTCTAGGCCATCTGACTGCAACTGTGGGGCTCAAATCCAGGGCAGGGTGGGCAGTGGCAGGCAGGGGTGGTTCTCAGCAGTGGTCATTACTAGCGGTGTCCACATGGTGGCAGTGTGGCTCTCACAGTCTCCTCGGGCCAGGCAAGCTGGGCCCAGCCCTGGTGCTCCAGCTCCGGTCAGGTCCAGTGCCGATCAGGGCACTGGTGTGGGAGGCAGGTGCATCTCCGTGACCGGGTGTCCGAGGATTTCCGAGGGAGGCACTTTAGCAAAAAAACACTGCAGAGAGAGGTAGTGGGCCACGTCTAAGCTCATAGTGCTTCTGAGAGCTCTTTTTCCTAGAGTATCCGCTTTCAGTTTCCATCTTGATGGTAATTGCTGGTTTCTTAAAAAAAATTTTTATTTTTTTATGTTTTTTTTAAAAACGCTTTTGCAGAACTGTTAGAACTGTGAGGTACACCTTGCAGTTCGAGAAGCTGGTTTCGTGTTCTGC